ACAGAGAGACACACGACACATATGTACAAGTGATACTATTCGGGCAGCTCACAGCACACGGGGCTGCAGCAAGACAAACAGAGCTAAAGCACTGGAAACATCACAGGGATCCAGCCCTCCAACTGAGCAGTGGAGGAACTCAGCATGGGGAGCAAGCAAGATCTAGTCTCAGCTTCCAACACACTAGGTAGCCTTGGGCAGTTTCCTTTGTCGCTGGGTCCAAATGACAGGGTTGGCCGAGGCGATTGCTGAAGGCTCAGATCCTGGGCTTCTCCCCCAGCTGTACCCCAGTGACCTCCCTCTCCCGATCTCCAGGTCACAGGCTTATGTTCTGGTTGGTCATTGCCTGTTTCTGTTGGCTCCAGCCTCCCAGCTGCTTCCCTGTGCCCCACTTATCTGCTCTTGCTTTTGGACTGACCCCAAGCCTGATAGCCATTCTCAGTGCCCATGGTCTAGCTGATGTCACCCCAAAACCAGGGCCCGGCTTTGTGTGTGTGGAGGCAGAGTTTACGTGTTGCAGGTCCCTGGGGACCGGGATGCAGTGGAGGGAGGACAGGGACCAGGCTCAGTCCAGCCTTAGCAGTCTTTCTGTGACAGGGGGTCATTCAGTAACTGCCTCAGATCTTGGTCCGAAGTCAGGCTGAGGGCTTGGGGGTGTGAACAGGGACAGGCTCAGTAAGCTGGACATTCCTTTTCTTTCCCTAATATTCAGCCATCCTTTACAGCAGACTGGCGGGGTCTTAGTTGCTCACATCAGCCCAAGCCCCAGGACACTTGCCCACTCCCAGTAAAGTGATGCTGAGCTGCAGACCTAGAGGGGTTTCTGTGATTGCGCTTTCTGTTCCTTCTCTCTGGGTGTGTCTCAGGGGCCAGAACGAGTGGGGCAGGTGAACGATTATATGGTGTGATTTCAGATACCAGAGACACTGCTAGAAACCCCAAGAGCTCCCTCCATCTGTCTGGTCAATACTGACATTCCTCAGTTCGAGATTCATCCACTTGGATTAGTTTTTGGAGCTGTGGAAAAAACTTTGGGCTATGAGGCTGTAGATGAGAAACTACGTCTCATCTTTGCCTCCTACTTGCAGCTGTATCACCACGCTTCTCTGAGCCTCAGTTTTCCTGTCCGTAAAGTGGGAATGATCACGTCCAACTTCCAGAGTTGTTATCAAGAGTAAGAGATGCAGTGTGGAAAGCACTGGCACCAGGCAGGGGCTCTGTAAACGCTCCTTCCTTCCCCACCGTCCTAGGTCAGAAGAGCAAGTGGGGGGGGGGGGTTGGAGGACGCCATGCTGGGAGTCACCACCAGGTGGCAGCACAAGGTGTTCGTTCCTTGGCTCACTCTTAATGAGGAGGCCCTTTAGTGAGCTCTCAGATGAAGCAGGCGGTAATGAACTCCCCAGCCCTGCAGGTTAGCGCGGCAAGGCTGGCAGCTTCCTGTCCTGCTGATGAAGAGCAGCTGAGTCCTCTATTGGCGGGATGTGACACCTACAAAGAGTGCTGCAGATTCCCCAGGGGACATAGAGAAGTGGCGGCTTCGCCCCTGCTCGCAGGGAGGCTGCAGTCTGGGGAGGGAGGCAGGAGTGTGTGCAGACAGGCCAGAGAGGGGTGACGTGCTCTGGCCCAGGGGTGCACAGAGGCTTGGCAGCTCAGTGAGGGACACTCCGCCCTGCAGAGTCAGCAGGGGCTTCCCAGGGAGGGGTCAAATAGAAGGACATCAGGATCCCCTGGAAGTGATAAGGTTTTGCGAGGGCCGCCTGTGGTTCTGGGAGCTCAGAGCACGCCACCTTTGCACTGCCGGCCAGACTACGCACATGTAGCCCGCAGCGCCCTGGGATCTGTCGGTTCCCCGGCTCCCTCACATCCTCGCCCCAGAGATGCCTGGTCTCCCGACAGACACCGAGTGAGGCCTCTCCCAGGAATAATTCCTATCCCCTCAGTCCAGTCCCCAGCTTGGCAAGTAAGCAAGCCCGTGGATGTGCCACAGTGGTTCCTCCTGCTTGGTGACCACAAGTCCTTTCATAAAGGAGAAGACCCTGGACAAGGAACCTAAGGCCCCTGCAACCACATTCTAAGCCCTGTCCTGCCACTGTCCAGCTGTGACCTTGGACCCATTTCCCATTCTGTACATTACGGTTGACCTAGAAGGTCCTAAGGAAGCTCCCAGTTTTAACATCTAACACCCACAGATTCTTCCTGATCTAGAGCCCCCTTGGGAAGGTCGCCAGCTTGACACTGTGGAAGGAAAATATGGGTCCTTCCCGGATCAAAGGAAGTGACAAAGGTATTAGTGCTTTGGAAGCTCTGCATATCCCCCTGACAATGTGTACGTTGAGCTCTTGGGGAGCCAGTAGAGTACGGTCCACCACTGTGCTCTCTGCAGAGCCTGGCCAGGCACCCAACACCTGGCTCTATGGGGAAGAAGATGCACAGGAAGAGATGGAAACCATTTTCTAATATCTGCCAGTTGTCTCAGGGCAGAAGGAGCATTCTTGTTCTGTGGGGCCTCGGAAGGCAGAGCCTGGGCCAGTGTGGGCAAGCCTGCAGTGAGGCAGGTTTGCGCTCCAGCCAAGGACGCCATTCAGCCAAGGACATCTAAAGATGTCCCCCAAGGGGCACCTAGCTGGCTCAGTTGGTAGAACATGTGGCTCTTGATCTCAGGGTTGTGGGTTTGAGCCCCAAGTTGGGTGTAGAGATTATTTAAGGAGAAAGAAAGGTAGGTAGTTAAGGAAGGAAGGAAGGAAGGAAGGAAGGAAGGAAGGAAGGAAGGAAGGAAGGAAGAAAGGAAGGAAGGAAGATAGGAAGATGAACCCCAAGAGTGGACACCTTTGTTGGCAGAGATGGACAGCTGGGCATGGTCTAGGCCAGCCCTTCCCAAATCTGGCTGTGTACGACAATAGCCATGCTTAGAAACTGAATTCTGAAGATTTTTGAAGACCCTCAGGGATGTGGCTACAACTCAGTATTTTTCTAGATCAAGGTGCCTTGACATGGGGTCCACCTGCTGCGTTTGGCTGTCCTCCTGAATGTCTCTCCTCGGGGCCTGTGCCCCTCCCCCCAGTCCAGCCACCTTCCTGGCACCTGGACAAAAACCGTAACCACAGTTCTGCTGGGTCCCAAACACCCTTCCATTCTGAAATACAAGCGGTTAAAGGGAAGGGGGTGGGGAAAGGTGTAAGTCAGATGCATTTGAAGGAAAGCAGCTTTGAAGTCCTGAGGCCATTATGTTAATGGCATTACTCAATTTCTGGAAGCAATCCTGATTAAATATTCATTGGCTTTGATTATACTGAAATTAGGGCTAAAGCGTGAAGTCAAATTGAGGGGAGTAATGGCAGTGTAAATAATGCATGGCCTCTAAATTGAAAACACCAGCTTGTGCAGCCCCAGCCTCCCCCCACCCTGCTTGTCACTGCGCCATTTGTTTAGAAGGTGATTAGTCCAACGAGGCCATCTCTTAGCAGCTGGGGACCCAGAGTTGGAAGGATCGCAGCACCCTGTGTTTCTGGGAATACGGGAGCCTTGAAGCAGGCGCCTCGCAGCAGGGGGTTTTCTCCAGGTCCGGACCTGGAAGCTGGGAATTGTGGTGAAGCCCCGTCGCGGACTCCTGTATTGTCTGAGTGACATCGTCTCAGAACTCAGAATAATGGAATCTCCCCACTGCGGCTCTTCAACAGTGTAATCTTTGAACAGGAAAGAGGAAGGGGGTGGGGGAGAGGTGCAGCAAGTCAGAGGTTAGCATAACCAGGTGAGATGTGTTCCAGTGAGTGAGGAGAGACAGGTGAGCTGATTGTAAAATTGTGTGATGCGTGCTCTTTAGAGGTGTGTGCAAGAGGCAGTTGTGGGAACCCATAGAAGGACTTTCGCTGGGTCGAGGGTGAGGTTGGTTATGGGGGCCAGGCTGGCTGGGGCAGGAGGAAGGCACTCAGGGAAGTTTCAAGGCACCTGGCCTAATGGCATCTTCTCCTCCTCCGCTGGTCCCTCAGCTGATACCTGGCCCAGGGCCTGGCCCAGAGCAGAGGCTGATGATGTTGGCCGAATAGGTAGAAGACTGAGTGCCTGAGCGCGGCACTGAGGAAGGAGGGGCAACCCTCCCTGCTTCCTAGAGGAAAACCATCACTCAGCCACATAAAGAACCATCACAAGAGGATCGTAGCATCCTGTGTCAGGCCCCCATTACTGTGACTGCACACTCACTTGCTGGGCTCTGGGCGAAGTGTCTGTTAATTTTTCAACAATCTTATACAGAAGGTATGGTTATAATCCCCAACTGATGATCAAAAAGAGCAACGCAGTTTCATTTGCATACACAGCTAAAGACATTAAGTCACACGCACACAGCTAGTAAGTAAAGCTGGAATCCAAACCCATGTTTATTTCTGAAGCCACTTTAGAAATCCTTCTCAGTGGTCCTGCACCTCCTGCGGTAGATATTCGCATACAGGTATTCATATTCTCTCTCTCCTGCTCACCCCATCCTTTCCTACCCCCCCCCTTTTCTTCGCTGCTCTAGGATCCCTGAGAGAGGCTGGGCACACTCACTGGTGTGCCAACGCTAGGAGGAACAATGCATGTACTTCACCATATAATGAGCCCTCAGGACCCCAAGAGAGTGGCAGGTGTGAGCGACCACACCCCAAACCACAGGCTTTACTTTTTTTTTTTTTTTTTTTTTTTAATTGCATAGTTCAATTACCTGCAGGTACAAGCAGTTCAGGGCCAGAGCAGCTGCTCTGGGCAGCTGGGAAGAGCTGCTTCCAAGGCAGAGGGAAGAGCTTGTGTGCTCAGGGACTGGGGGAGGCTGCTTAGGGCTCTGCGGGTCAGGGTGGGTTGGAAAGGAAGCTGGAGCCAGATCCTTGCAACCCTGATGCACCCCCCCCCCCGGCAGAGGCTACCAGGCACCCAGTAGGAGAGCTCTGTTCAGCAGGCTGCGTCTCACTGTGTCCGCAGAAAACCTGAAGTCACAAGAGAAACCTCTGCCTTTCAGTTTTCCCATGGACTTGGAAGGGGCTTTCTGTTTTGTGTTGTGGAGCCTGCGGCTGATCTGTATAGATGACAGAGAAACGCATTTCACCGGGCTTACTACTGTCCTTGAGACTTCTCAATGAAGTGGAGCTGCTTCAGTGCAAAAGCCGTGGCGAGGAGGGCGCCACCTTGTGGTGAGACGCGGGGACGGGTCTAGGGAATCCTGTTCCTCCGGGGGGGCGGGGCGGCCAGCCCTGAAGTCCGAAACAGGTGTGTAGATCTCTACACGCACATGTGCCATCAGGGAATCTGCTTTTGTGAAGCAGGAGATGGGCTCTGTCACAGGGAACGCAGGCTGGCCCGAGTCAAGGAAGAAGTCAATTTCCAATTCTTCCCGCATCGTGTTGAACAAAATTAGCCGAATTTCTTCTCTGTCAGGTGAAGGGTGAATTTGACTGAATATCTTTCCCGTGCAAATGATTTTTAGACACACTCCCTTCCCCAGCAAATACTCCTCGGGCACTTAATCTCTGCTCAGCCAGGTCCTGGGCCACCGAGGGTCAGGTGGCTGGCTGGGGAGATGAAATGAACAGCCAGGTTAGGGTTAGCATTAGTGCCTTCGAGGGAACTAAGAGCTTGAAAAGACAAAGAAATGAGTGTGTAAGTACTTCTGCTGAGCTGCATCAACAGTGTGAGCCCTGAAGCCACACAGTCTTGGGTTGAATTCTGCATCTTCCTTGTACCAGCAACGTGACCAAGCTCACGCTAATGAGAGCTCTTACCCACTAGGGTTGTTGAGAGGATGAAATGAGGTAACCCAGGGAAGAAACTACCAGGGCGCCTGACACGCAGTAAATCTCAATCAGCCCCAGCTGTTATTGGGGGTACGGCAGGCTTCCTACCCCGAGCACTACACTCCCTTCCCGTCCCACTCCCCTGTGTGAGAAGACAGAGGGAGAAGGAGGAAGGAGGGGAGAGAGAGCCTGAGGAGCCTGGTCACTAGCCTGTCTCGGTGCCCACAGCATGCTGGGCACCATAACATACACCAGCGCATTTGGCTTCCTGAAACCCCCACGAGGCAAGTAGGGTCATCTGTACCAACAAGCCACCTGCGGCTAAAGCCCTGCTCTGCCAAAGCTCACAGTCCTCATAGGGGTAAAGCCAGGGCTTGAATCCAGTTCTGCCTGAATGGGGCTCAGGGTTGTAGTTGTGTTTACAAACACAGTGTTTGTCCCCCTTCTGTTTCCTCGGGGGGGGGTGGCTAGCCCACGCTGCCTCTCCCAGACTCCTTCCACGCTGCCTCTCCCAGACTCCTTCTCTGTGTGGGTGACTCGACAGACAGCCTCGCAGAGCCTGCCCAGCTCCCCCAGCCGTACCTGCAGGGCCCAGTGGGAGGCTGGGATGGCAGACTTCCAGCGCTCCCCAACACACCGCCCCCAGTCTGGGGCTGGAATCTGTCAGTGCCTCTTTAGAGCTCACAATTAACCGGACTCCTGGCTAGATTCTGTTTGTTTCGCTCTTCCTGAAATTACCATTCTTTGCCATTAGTTGATGCTGTGATGTAGCATCAGGAACTTGGGGAGGAGTCTGTCACCCTCTCCCTCTCCCTCCTCTCTTCTTTCTCCCTCTTAGACCTTTAATGGGAGGAAGGAACGGTCTGATTACAAAAATCTTTAGAAACAACTTGTTTTACGAGGAAATTTTAGATTTTTCCTTCATAGAAATTCATGGAAGGGAGAAATTGGAGTGGACTCTTAGGAGGACTGGAGAAAGTTTCCCAAGGGAGGAAATCCCCAGGCTGGGTAGGGTGGGAGGCTCCGACCTAGGAGAGAGAGAGAGAGGGCCGGCAGGGACACAGCAAGAGCACAGGCCTGCTCAGGCCCAGGGAGGAGCCCTTTGCACGCGGCTTCTGGGCAGGGCTGGAGTTCGGGCCGGAGCAGGGGGGTCGGAGGTCGGATTCCCCTGCCGGCTCAGCTGCGTGGCCATGGGCAGCTGTCTTCCGTTCCGGTCTACTTCACAGGGTGGTGTAAAGGTACACGTGCACAATGAGCAAGAGGGGGCTTGGTACCCCTCGAGGGCCATGTGAGTTGTAAGGTTGGTCACGGCTGCTGGAATGGGACTGTGCAGGACAAGGGAGGGGGCAACTCGGTGATCTTCACCGTGAACTTGTACCTCGCATGACTCCCAACCCCAGCCAGGCCAGTAGTCTCGGATGACAGAGACTTCTCATCCTCAATATTCTACCTTTGCTTATAGTGTTGCTTCCATCTGTAAAGCCTGCTCCCTCCTCTCTGCCTTGCTGAATGCCCTCCCCTTCTCAAGGACTCCTCCCCGGGAGCCTTCCCTGATGACTCTAATGCTCTGCTGTCCCCTACGTAGCCGCTAGCCCCACATGAGCACTCACAAGGCCGTCTGACTGGGATGTGCTGTGTGAGTCAGATATACGGCTGCATGGCAGGCTTCGTACAAAAAGTCACACAAATAGCTCATTAGTACAATTTGTCCTATTGATTACATGCTGAAATCATATTTTAGAGACCTGAGTAAAATAAAATGTCATTAATGTTAATTTTACCTCCTGTGCTTTTTTAATGTGGCTGTTGGAGAATTGAGGCTCACATGCATGACTCACGCTGATGGCGTGCGTTACAGATCCGTTCATTAGTCGGGGTCTGCCTTGAACCTCTTCACTCACCCTCCTACCTGCCGGGATGGATTTCAACACTTGATAAGGCTCAAGTGGTACTTTGTGATGTATTGCCCGACGTGTTTCCTGTGTACAGAGCAACTTCTTACAAGTGACCTGCCTTCATTGTCTGCGTGACCCTTAGCCAGAGCCAGCTTATCTCTGGGAATCGGTGTTCTCACCTGGTAAAAGGGGCTGAACTCATCGGTCTCCAGTGGTCCTTCTTTCTCTCGGACATCTGGTGACTTACCAGATCTTTCCTCCATTTTAATGGGAAAACTTGCGGAAGTCACCCCACGCTTCTGTGCCACCATTTTTGCATCTAGTATGTAAATGAGCTGAGACTGTCTGCACAGCCCCCACCCTCCCTTGAATCCAAGTGGTTCTGAGAATCAAAGGAGTTCACAGACTAAGCTTGATCCCCTGGCTCCTCACCCTCAAGTCCAATGGAAGCAGCACATGTGTCGGAGAGTGGGGCCGGGGTGGGCTCTGACCTACTCTGTGCATTCAGCAAGCACGCACAGTCATTCATTTAGCAAATCCTTGCTGGGCACTGGGCCTGCACTGCATGCCAGGCACCATGGCACATGGACAGACAGACCTGCTGCCCTCTTGCCCTTGAGGTGCTAAGGGTGTAAAGGGGACACTCCCCGTAACAGCAGAGTTCTAACCGTGCAGCCCACTTGGCACAGAGGGAAAAGGGGGGCTCAGGGCATTCCGGACCAGACATTCCCTCTCCCCGACAACAGGAGCAGTCTCTTTACCAAAGAAAGGTCTGATCAGCCCTACCACCCCTCAGACCACAGGCAGTGATCCCAACACACACAGTAGCTTTGGGATGAAGGAAAAAACTTATTAACATGGTGTCATGAACTCCCTTTATCAGGCAGGAGTGCCCATGTCGCGGCTGCTGTGAGTTTTGGCTACCCTCTTCTTGGTAAGGAGATTGCTATGAGGTTGCCCCAGTCCTAGTGCCTGAGAAATATTTATTAAAAAGAAGGAGAGAAAAGAGGGAGGGAGGGAGGGAGGATGGAAGGGAGGGAGGAAGGAAAGAAGGAAGGAGTCATTTGGGATTAAGGTGACCTAGAGGGCTCCCCAAATGTGGCATCTTGCTCTCTCTCCGCCTTTATTGCAGCTGTCTGGGCCCAGGTCCTTCTACCTATTGCCAGCTCCCCTCATACAAGGACCCCGTGCCAAGCGGAGGATTCCCGTGCTCCTGAATGGGGATCCCACCTTGATGTCGTAGATCCCAGTGGGTCCTAGATATCCCACGCCTGACGGGGCAAGGCTGGGCCTGAGGCTCAAACACAGAACTTTCAGTTTGACCCTCGTCCCCATCATTCACGACCCCTCTCTCCTCACAGATGCACAGGTTCTCCCTCCCTCTGTGTCTCCATCCCTGAACAATGGCCGAGTGATGCCTTTAGCATCTCTTATTTGGATCGCTAATGCCTCTTGGATCAGACCATTCCCACCCAGGGCCTCCTGTGTCCCGGCAGGTCTGAAGCTGAGATGACTTCCTTAATCTCAGAAATGCAATTTATAGCATGAGCTGTTGAAGGCCCCGGCAGCATCTCAGTACTGCTCAGGCCTCGCCTGCAGGGCACTGGAGGGAATGGGGTTGTCTTCTCATACTGGGGGAGCCTGGGTCCCTGGAGACCACAGTTTCATTTCTGAGCCGGTAGAATCTGTTCTGATTGCATAGAGCATCCCCCTCAGCAACAGACACTCGGCAATGAGCATCTGAACGAATGGAGGAATGAAGCTGAGCCTTGAAGCCAGGCAGGACCTGGCAAAGCCGAGGAGGGGAGGGCGTTCTGCGCCCAGGCTGCTGCATGAAACACCAACACAAGGAAGCCAGGAGCTCGGGGAGCAGGAGGGAGGGAAGGCCCTGGGGCTCAGGTGGATGTGAGAGCGGAGAGAAGGGCCAAGACCCAGGCCCGCGGAGGACCAGCCGCGGTGAGCTCCTCATCCCCATCGGGGCCAAACACCTTGACTTCCACCTGGTCCTCTGAGCCCCCTGTGAATGCGGCAGTATGAGTCTCCCTGGCTTCTGTCCTTCCTTCCACAAGTATCCGTTCAGCACCTGCTGTTCCTGGTCTGGGGGTTACAGCCGTGAATAAAATGGCAAAGCTGCTGTTTTTATAAAGCCGACATGCCGTCGGGGGAGGAAATAAATCTGTACACATCAGGGGGCGAGGAGTGCTGCGGGGAGGAAGGCGGGGAAGGCAAGGGGTGCCGGGAGCATTCCTGTTCTGTAGGGGGCTCCCCTGCAATGCGACACTTGAGCAGAGACCTCCAGGAGGCCTGCCAGCCATGCAGCAGCAGCGGGCTCCCAGCGCGGGGAGCACAGGCCGATGGGCTGCCCCTGGCCCCGCCCCCAACTCAGTCACCAGGCACTCAGGAGCACTAGTGTCCCCACGTCACAGGAGGATAGCGAGGCGCAGAGAGGTGAGGAAGTGGACTCAAGGTCACACAGCTGCTAGTCAGCAGACCTGGGTCTCAAAC